CCCCCTTTCCCAATTTTGAACCAGGAGTTAGGCACCTCCTTTCAGGTTAAATCCCTGAGCAAAGAAAGCCTGCCTTTCAAGACGTCATCAGAGCTGGCAGACTTATGTGATCATTAGAGTTTACTTTAAAGGCATTGAATTCTCAAGGAGTATTAAGCATCATAAATTCTTAAGGATGCCCAACATTAGCAGCTTTGGTTCCTTGTTAGAGAGTTCCATCTCTCTCTTCAGCTTCTTTTCTTTCAAGAGAGACAGAATTGCAACAGTCTCTTGCGCAGTCAGATCAGAGCATTTTGTATCTATGTCAATTTGCTAATCAGTGAGGTGTGTTTCCTGTATTAATAAAGTAGTACTCATGCACAGGCTTCGCTAGTGGCTCCGAAGTAAAGTATCCGCCTGCAATGCAGGAGACACAGGAGATGCAGTTTCGATCCCTGGGTTGGGAAGACCCCATGGAGGAGGAAATGGCAACCCACTCCAGTATTCTTGCCTGGGAAATCCCATGGACAGAGAAGCCTGGCAGTGTATAGTCCATGGGGTCGCAAAGAGTCAGACACAACTGAGCATGCACACACAAATTCACACATTTTATTTGGACATTATGACAACAATTTAGTTTTCTGTTATTTAGTATATCTGGCCCTTGTAGGTGCTTTTATGTCAACATCATGCTCAATTATAAGCTCTTAAATAAAGGGGATTTTATTATCAAGTCATAAAATATACAAGTTCTTTGTATAACTTAATATGCTGGGAACTGTGGTGGGGACTACCTATAGGAGATACAAATTATTTTAGGCATAACTTTTATTTTCAGGGAACTTGAAGTCAAAGTGAAGACAATACAGGGACCTGAGTAATTAAAACACATGACAAAGTTCAGCAAGAATTATTAGAGTCAAAAATGCATGGTGTTCAGGGGACAGAAAGAGGGAACCAGCAAAGGTTTCATGGAGGAGATGGCATTTAATAGGAGCCTTAAAGGATGAGCATGATTTCTTAAGGGAGAGACATTTTTGGCATGTTAGACATCCAACCATGTATTTATTCATCAACTATTATACTGTGCTGTGCTGTGTTCAGTCACTCAGTCATGTCTGACTCTTTGCGACCCTATGGACTATAGCCCACCAGGCTCTTGTGTCCACGGGATTCTCCAGGCAAAAATACTGGAATGGGTTGATGTGTCCTCCTCCAGGGGATCTTCCCAACCCAGGGATGGGACCAGTGTCTGCTATGTCTCCTGCATTGTAGGCCAATTCTTTACCACTGAGCCATCTTGCTAAATGTTAGTTGCTTTTCTGGGCACAGGAAATAGAACGGTGCCCCCCAAATGATAAGATTCCCTGTTTTCATGGAGCTTAACTTCTAGTGGAAAAAGACAACAAATAAATAAAGAATAAACAGTTGAAGGATTTTAGGTAGTGAGAAATGATGTATGGGAAAGAAAACAGGACAACTGATTTGAAAGTAAAAAGGAGGGGGTAGCAAAGTGAAGAGGAACTAAAAAGCCTCTTGATGAAAGTGAAAGAGGAGACTGACAAAGTTGGCTTAAAGCTCAACATTCATAAAAGTATGATCATGGCATCTGGTTGCATCACTTCATGGCAAATAGATGGGGAAACAGTGGAAACAGTGGCTGACTTTATTTTTGGGGGGCTCCAAAATCACTGAAGATGGTGACTGCAGCCATGAAATTAAAAGACGCTTACTCCTTGGAAGGGAAGTTATGACCAACCAGACAGCATATTAAAAAGCAGAGACATTTCTTTGCCAACAAAGGTACGTCTAGTCAAGGCTATGGTTTTTCCAGTGGTCATGTATGGATGTGAGAGTTGGACTGTGAAGAAAGCTGAGCACTGAAGAATTGATGCTTTTGAACTGTGGTGTTGGAGAAGAATCTTGAGAGTCCCTTGGACTGCAAGGAGATCCAAGCAGTCCATCCTAAAGGAGATCAGTCCTGGGTGTTTATTGGAAGGACTGATGCTGAAGCTGAAACTCCAATACTTTGGCCACCTCATGCGAAGAGTTGACTCATTGGAAAAGACCCTGATGCTGGGAGGGATTGGGGGCAGGAGGAGAAGGGGATGACAGAGGATGAGATGGCTGGATGGCATCACTGACTCGATGGACGTGAATTTGAGTAAACCCCGGGAGTTGGTGATGGATAGGGAGACCTGGCGTGCTGCGATTCATGGGGTCGCAAAGAGTCGGACACGACTGAGCGACTGAACTGAACTGAACTGAGCAAGTGTGAGAGGGCTCCCCAGATAAATGAAAGGAAGAAGCCAACCATGATAAAGGTCTTGGAGGGAGTGTTCCACGGGAGAAGAGGTTGTAAAGGCCCAAAAATAAGAAGCACAGAATGATCAAGAAGCAAAGAAAGCCAAGGTGGCTAGGACATGGTATTTGAGGTAGAGAATGGGCTGAAGAGAGAACACAGAACAGGCAGCAGTTAGCCCTGATGAGCTGTTTAGGAAATGTGAATTCTCTTCCAATGTATTCTTTAAGATGGCATAGAAAAAATCCGAACAAAATTTTTGACCTGCCCAATGGGAAAGAAGCCATGTCCCTTACCCTTTCCCCTGCCTCCCCCAGTCCTGGGAATTACAGGATAGGAAAGACTGCCATAGCTAATGTGTCATAAACTAGAGTCATAGTGGAGAAGGTGAAAAACATGTGGGGGACTAGGAGTTGTCATTTGGAAGTAGGCCAACTGGGTCAATGGTGGGGGAGCAGTAAGAGAAACACAGGATGTGATGGAAGCAGCCTTCAAATCCTAGGGACAGCCAGCCTAGACTAGGGGGAGGAAGTCCTTCTCAGAGTGCTGTATTCAGAGATCTCACGGTAAGTCAGGAAGGTAGAGTGTAAGGGGAGGCGAAAGGAGAAGACAAGGTGAATTGAAGAAGAGAGCAGTCCAAATCCTTACAAAGCACATCAAGAAATGTGCACCCAGAGCATCCAGCAATGGGAACCCATGCAAGAGCTGTGAGTAGTGAGCTGGAGAGGCAAGTGGTCATGATTCCAGTGCAGAGAGTCCAACAGGAGCATGTGGGAGGGGGTATGAAACAGATCAATTTGAAAACTACCACAGCAATTAAGTTAGGAGACAACAGGGTCCTCAAGCAGGAGTGCTTTGTTCCTGCCAGCGTGCAGTTGGCAACATTTAGAGTTGTTCTTGATTGTCACAACTCTGGGCTTGGTTGCCACTGGCTACCTGTAGTAGGCAGAGCCAGAGATGCTGCTAAACACCCTCAATGCACAGGACACCTCTCCACACCCCCCAAAACAATGAGGTGTTATCTGCTCTAAAATGTCAGCAGGGCCAAGCTTGAGAAACACTGACCTAAACTAAGGCAACAGTTCAGTTCAGTTCAGTCGCTCAGTCGTGTCCGACTCTGCAACCCCATGGACTGCAGCACGCCAGGCCTCCCTGTCCATCATCAATTCCCGGAGTCCACTCAAACTCATGTCCATCGAGTCAGTAATGCCATCCAACCACCTCATCCTCTGTCGTCTCCTTCTCCTCCTGCCTTCAATCTTTCCTAGCATCAGGATCTGTTCAAATGAGTCAGCTCTTTGCATCAGGTGGCCGAAGTATTGAAGTTTCAGCTTCAACATCAGTCCTTCCAAAACATTCAAGACTGATTTCCTTTAGGGTGGACTGGTTGGATCTTCTTGCAGTCCAAGGGACTCTCAAGAGTCTTCTCCAACACCACAGTTCAAAAGCATCAATTCTTCGATGCTCAGCTTTCTTTATAGTTCAAATCTCACATCCATACGTGACCACTGGAAAAACCATAGCCTTGACTAGATGGACCTTTGTAGGCAAGGTAATGTCTTTGCTTTTTAATATGCTGTCTAGGTTGGTCATAACTTTCCTCTCAAGGAGTAAACATCTTTTTATTTCATGGCTGCAGTCACCATCTGCAGTGATTCTGGAGCTCCCAAAAATAAAGTCTGTCACTGTTTCCACTGTTTCTCCATCTATTTACCATGAAGTGATGGGACTGAATGCCATGATCTTTGTTTTCTGAATGTTGAGCTTTAAGCCAACTTTTTCACTATCTTCTTTCACTTTCATTAAAAGGCTCTTTAGTTCTTCTTCACTTTCTGCCATAAGGATGGTGTCATCTGCATATCTGAGGTTATTGATATTTCTCCCGGCAATCTTGATTCTAGCTTGTGCTCCCTCCAGCCCAGTGTTTCTCATGATGTACTCTGCATATAAGTTAAAGAAGCAGAGTGACAATATACAGCCTTGACACACTCCTTTTCCTATTTGGGACCAGTCTATAGTTCTATGTCCAGTTCTAACTGTTGCTTCCTGACCTGCATACATGTTTCTCAAGAGGAAGGTCAGGTGGTCTGTTATTCCCATCTCTTTCAGAATTTCCCACAGTATTATGATCCACACAGTCAAAGGCTTTGGCATAGTCAATAAAGCAGAAATAGATGTTTTTCTGAAACTCTCTTGCTTTTTTGATGATCCAGTGAATGTTGACAATTTGATCTGTGGTTCCTCTAAGACAACGGTACATGCACTGAAATGAAAGGGGCAGAACAGAGAGGACTAGGTGGTATATCAGATCCAAGAAACCATCATCTGGCATTTGGGATGAATGTGGAAGTCATGGTGGTCTTTACTGAGAGAGGAATTCTGTGAAGAGGACAGAGTAGGTCTGCGGAGGAGAAGCTGGAGAATTCTGTTTGACCGCTGAGCTGGAGAACTGAGTTGGAGATGTCTGTGGAACCAGAAATTAGAAATGGGAGTTGCAGTTGAATATATAAGATTTCTTGACAAGGGAGGAGTTTTGGAAGGTAATTGCTGAGTACACAGGGAAGTCAAGAGAAGACACCTGGATAGGGATGGAATGAGGCTACATCTTTAGCTGGATTTAGCATCCATCCATGTACACATGATGCCTGAAAGTGTTGCGGGAGCATCTGGCGCTGGCATCACTTGTAACAGCAATGTTTATATTGTCTTTTTTTTACAGGAGCGAATACAGGCCGATGAAGTGATCGCGATCCTGGATCAGGAACAGCAAGGGAAGCACGAAATGAATATCAATCCCAAAGATGAGCTATAAAAATGAGAAAAAGAGTACTCTATCAAATATTTATTTAAATTGTTAATCTTATGAGAACTTTTTTATTTTTGTACAGAGCCACGGTATAAATTAACATGTTAATATGAGTCAGCAGATCTCCCTTCTGTGCCTAAGGATGCTTGTTTTGCCTCAGTCTGTCTGTCTGTCTTGGTTTTCCCAGCAAATTGTCTCTCAAAGCCCAGTCACCCTTTTTCCACCATGCGTGCGTGCGTGCGCGCGCGCACACACACACACACACACACACACACTTCATTTGCTGCAGATCCTAAAACTCAAGCAGAAAGAATAAGTCCATTCCTGGTGAAACAACTCCTATGCATGCCCAGATCTAAAGTTAGAGTGTGATTGGACTCAGAAGGCTTTTCTGGCTCTGTGCCTTTCAGCCACTGTCTCTCCTAGAGCCGATGGCTGTGACTCTGAAGAGTCCATGGCGAGGTCAGAACTGCTTCAAGTTACTGCCCTGAGGGCCCCCCAGGCTCTGCAAAGGAGCAGCTCTGATGAAGACTGTGAGACGGAGGGGTCAGCCTCCCCAGGCCTGGGTGGAGTTTTTGACTCTGGTGTTTTTAGCACAGAGCACCCTTACACTGGAAGCTTTGATTCACCCTCCACTATGCACTAGTCCAGAAAAGACTGCCTAGGATTGCTGTCTTTAAAAAGTGTTGTTCAAGGGTTGAAATAGAATGGCTCTTCATCCCAGCAATCCTGGAAGAAAATCTTTAATCCCACCTGAATGTGGGCACCATGGCTACATTGCCCGAGAGAGGGATGTTTTGTTCTTCAGGGAGAAAAAATGGACTTCTGGTTGATTCCACTCTTCATCTGAGTGTATTTTGAGCCCCCCCTCCCCCTTCCCCCACCTTTGGTGCTCTCCAGCTCATGGATTTTAGTGTTTCTATCTGATTTGCTTAATAAAGGGAGGCTTGTTTTAATATCGAGCATTTGTTTTTCTTCTCCCAAATGTTTGGTTTATCTCCAGATAATCCAGACAGGAGCTTTGGGGACCACCCAGGGATAATATTGGGTCATGGTTCATTTTGTTGGCAGGGGCTTGGGGCTGCAAGGAAGGTATGAGCATTCCGTCTGAAGAAACAGAGATGGTTGGCAAAAAAGTGTTAATCCAGAGAATATCTGGGGTCCTTGATGCTGGTTCTAAGGAAGATACTGCCAAGATAGTGTTTTACGGGGGTGGGGAATGGGGTTATTCTGACCGAGAGAGTCTGCTCCACTAAATCAGGGGAGATCACCTGCCTCTTTGATGGGCAGTGGTAGAGTCTGTAGCCCTTAAGAAAATGAACAGATAAAAACATTTTCTAGGGACTTATCTGGTGGTCCAGTGGCTAAGACTGCTCCCAGTGCAGCAGATCCAAGTTCTGTCCCTGGTCAGGGAGCTAGATCCCACATGTGGCAACTAAGATCCCACACTAAGAGTTCTGCAAGAAAGTCTGCAACATGCTGCAGTGAAAATCGAAGATCCCATGTGCTGTAATGAAGACCGGCACAGCCAAATAAATACTTTTTAAAAGTAGCAACAATATTTTCAATCATTATTAAAAAATTGATAAAAATCATATTTGCTTTCTGCCATTTATGATCTTGGGTAGTGTAAGAACATTCATCCTTTGAGACTGAAAAACTGAGTCATAATGATTTGTGTGCCACCTGTTTGTCACCCAACCCTCTGGTTGGGGGAGTGGAAAGAGCATTAGATTATAATCCCAGCCTGATCAAATATACTATGCTGTGTGACCCGGAGCTAGTCTCTTTCCCTTTCTGGGCTTAAATCTCCTCTGAAAATGACATCATTGCCAGTAATTGTTTCCAGAAACCGTCCCTCTTGATCTAAATACAAAACAAAGCCAAAAGAAAACAAACCTAAAAATCTGATTTTAGAAATATTCACAGATACCAAATTTACTTCTACTAACATTTGGAGAATTGTGAATGGGTTCATTATGTGTGCATGTGATTTTAAAACCCGGAACCTAATTTTAGGTCTGAAATTCCCTGAGCTTTGGAACAGGAGGTTGCTATTTGTCTGCTCCTTTACTGAGAAGTGCTTGCTGACGCTCAGATTTGCTGATAGGAGGTTCTGGCCAAGGATCTAATTTCTGTTTTCTGGCAACAAGGCGTCAACAAAGAAAACCATCTTTGGCTCAATGCGGTCCCCGCTTCCTGGGTGCTCTCAGTGCTCTGGGAGAGGCCAGGACTCCAGCAGCGAGTCTTCCTTTCAGTCCCACAGACAGTGAGCAGCGGCCTCAGGAGATGGGCGTCAGGGTAAATCCCCAGTTTCTACCATCCCTGACAACACAGAGCTGTTATTCCTGTTGTGCAGGCCACCGGGGTTGGGTTCTCCACTTGGGCCATCACGTAGACACTCAGGCATTTGTGTTCTAATCTGCCCCACATCAAACCATACATAATTTCATGCAAATATTAGGGAGTGTCATCAGATGATTTTTTAGAAGATTGAGCTTAGAAATCACTTTCTATGTGATGTCTGGCCCCTTGTGTAGAAAGATGGGAAAGCTCATTAGAATTTCTTAAGTTTTCAGAGCTAAAGGAGGCTGTAGAAATTGCAACTCAATTCTGTCTTTCTGTCTGGGAGGAAACTGAGGCTCAGAAGTTGGAAAAATGATTGTGTGGTTGCAGAATTTGAGCAGGAAGAGTTGGGGCTTCTGAATCGACTTGTATGAGAATCCTGGCCCAGGGCAGCGTCCTCTAGAAGATGGGTAACTTTTTCTCTTTGGCCAAAGATGGTACTTGGTCATCAGTCTATGGACCTGCAGGACTGTGTTCAGAAGTGATGTCTTTCTCTAATTTACTTGAAAGTGTTATATGTGCTTGAGACAGCCCAGGCTCAAAGCCCAGTTTTTATGACTCCAAGCCTAGACTCTTCATCTCTGTCTCATGGGGAACTACCCCTGGCGCTGATGACTCCCCCTTGGTAAAAAGCCCACAGTATTACAAAGCTCCTGTTTTCTCCTGTCTTGTTGGATTGAATGCTTAAGACACAGGACGGGTTCTCACACTAGAAACCCCAAGAGGTGTTTGGGGTCCAGATTATGAGGACCGTGTGGCAGATGAGGAAGCAGAGAGCAGTGAAGCGAAGTCAGAGCCTGTACCCACTGGGCTTAGCGTATGCAGGTCTGAGGCAAAAGCAGTCTTTTGAACAGGAAGGAAAACAAGTGCCAGCTTGTTTGCTTCCAGGCATGCTTACTCTGAAATAGTACCTTCATGTAAAGAACAGAATTAGATTTTTATCAAACTTAAACTTTTCCTCCTTTCTTATTATCCCGTTGATGTGTGAAGGCATATTTCCCCTTCTCTCCTTGGAGAGGGACTGAATGTGGTTGCGAAATTCAGTGAGACAAACAGCGGGTGTCCGGCCCTGCTTTCATGACACTCACCAAGGGGAAGAAGGTTCTAGTCAGGTGCCATTTCCCACCCCCTCCAAGGCAGAAAGGATCTGCAACTTCTGTTTCCTCTTGAGAAAACTCTGACTCAGAACAGATATTTTCTTAGAAGTGTGGGGTCCTTTCCTCAGAGCCCTGAATGTGAATTGCTTGACAGGGAAATTTTAGTTTTAATATGGTTTTCATCACTGCTTTGTGCATAGAATTTTTTGGCACTTTTTCAGCTGAAGAGAAGCCATGGAATGAGTCAGTGCCATTTAATAATATATATCTACAAATTTTAATTGAAGTACAAATGCTGAATTATTTCACATAAGACAGCCACGGGGAAAACCTCCCTCACTGACGTCAAGAAAGGAGGTAATGAGGGCCACCTCACTAGTTCTTGATGCCAAGAATTAGGCATGCTGAAGTGACTGACAATGGTAGGGCTGAGAAGTGGGAAAATGTTGAACTGGTACCACATCCAAAGCTCTTCGCAGAAACAGGAACCATTTGGCAAAACGCCCCCTAACCACAAGTTAAATTGGCCCATGGGATGATCCTGGTTGCATCCTGCCAAGAAGTCTGTGATGTGACATGACCTCCTCCACACAGTCCCTCTTCCCACCCACAAATCTACTCACAGATAATTCGATGTTTCCAACATGAGACATAAGGGCCTCTACTGTTCCAGACCTGCATGATTTCTTCAGACACACCGAGACACATAACACCCACCACTGTTTGGGCTCGCTGCTAGGTTGGAACTGCAGACTCATGGTGTCAAGAGATTCCTCCTTCCCAGCTTCCCCTGGGTAATCATGGTGTTTTCTCTCCCCGCTGCTGATCTCAGAGGCCAGACGACCTCAAGTCTGGAACAATCTGATCTTAGATCCTGGCTTGCTCTACGACAGATGGCATCTGCCATGTGAAAAGCTGGCTGAGTCACTCACCTCTGCATTGAAAGATCTTATAAAGGGCTCATAAGACAGATAGCCAAACAAAAGTTTCCTGTTCTCTCTTCTCCTGACAAGAATTACTAGGCAGGAAAATCTGAATGCTCTATTAATTCAATATACAACCCACTTTTTCTGGTCACTTGCTATGATACCCCTGGGGGGAGGGTGAACAAAATGAGCTTCACCCTTTCTTTCCTTGTTAGGCTATTAGAGATTGAGGCTAGAGATGGGTTTGACATCCTTTCCACCTTAAAAAACCTTCTATAAGCCATCTTCTACCTAGACCCCTGTTAAATTCTCCTCGCTCCTCCCAAGCTGATTCTGTTACTTCTGAATTGCTATCTGATGGTGGGTGAGGATAAAGATGGGGACCAGACAAGAAGGATTACCTGTAAAGTCTCATCTTTTTCCACTTGTAAATCTTATGTCCCATTGTTTCAAAGGGTTGTAATCACGGTTGGCATTTACAGGGTGTTTTTTATGGTCTTGAAGCACTTGGCAGTCAAATAAAAGTACATAATTATCCCGAGAGACACATTAGTGCAATCTTCATTTTGTAAACAGAGAGAAGGAACAGACTCAGGAAAAGAGGTACAGGAAACCTCTGGTCATTTAGGAATTCATT